AGAGCATGGCTTGAATTGGTTCCTGGAAGACATTGAGTGCTCAGATGGGGGAGGGGCCAACATCTCTCCCTGCAGGTCCCCTGTCCCCTCCCTCCTCCCCCAAGACCTGGAGACAGGGAGGTTGGTAGGGGGGTATCACTCAGCTCTCCCCTACCCCGTTTCTTCAGGCTTCTGCTCATGGAGACCTGGGACGTAGCCAAGGCCCTGGCTGTGGGCTCCCTAGGACCCCTTTGTGGGGTGCCCCTGCCCAGGGGAAGACCCTGTCCGCAGGGAGGAGGTTCGTGACTGTCTGGAGGCTCTGAGTGTGCTGTGACAGGAGGCACTTGGGGATCCATGCCCAGGCTATCCTGGCTGCGCCTAAGGCCCCTCCACGGCAGCACTTGTGGGGGTCACTGCACCTAAGACCCCCCAGGACAGCACTTGCTGGGGAGGGCAGGGGGCACAGCCAGATGCTGCCCTGGCCACTCTCCTGCTAGCCCCAGCCTCTCCCAGGAGGAAGTGTACTTTCTCTTTTGCTTGTGAGTTTCTGTTCATTTCAGGACAAGTTGCCTGGGAACCAGAGAGTTGGCCACGGCTGGAAAAGGGTCTAGGAAGGGAATTGTACCGGCTTCACCTTTGAGTCTGGCCCTGCAGGCAGGGCTGGGGTCTTCAGTGCTGCCTTTTGAGGTCTGAGGGGGGCGTCACTTCCCCCATGTGACTTCATGGCTGTGAAACGTGGGTGGCGCGGGCCACAATTCTGCCTTTGCCCTGACTTCCTGGGGGGCACCCGCCTTGCTCTGCTGTGCTTTCCTGAATGGGATGAAGGGGTCTCCGGGTCTTGGGGAGGGTGCAGCAGCCGCAGGACAGTAGTGTGGACACCCTGGCCCCATTCTGGAGAACTCTGGAAAACCTGGCCGATTACCTTGTAATTGTTCCCAGCAGTGAGGAGCGAGTCTGGGCCCGGGAGCGGCCTCCAGTGTTTGTTTTGCCTTCTGGTTCTCCAGGCCAGTGGTAACCAAGGGCCGCTTCCCCTTGGAGACGGTGGAGCTTGCTCGGGCCAGGGCTGACCCAGCCCAGGCAAGGCAGGCCTGGGGACACAGCAGGGAGGCCCCCTACTGCGGGGGCTCCGGAGGTGCTGCCCTCACCCCTCTTCTGTCATTTTTCCCCCAGTGGTGAGGACCTGTGGGGCTTTTCTCCTGGGTCTTTTCCCAGGCACTTGCCTGGAACATTCGAGAACTCCAGATCCCCCGGTAGGTATCTGGGACACCATGAGAACGCTCACTGGCCAGCCACATGTGGGTGGTCTCAGGTGGGGCGTGGACTTCAACTAGGACTCAGGGCCGTGACTGACAGCCAGGCCAGGTTCTGGCAGGACCCAGGGTCCTGAGATAATTCCGGGGCGAGTTTGGAACCGAAGGAGAGGTGCTCTGAGACGGCGGCAGTGGAGGCCAACCAGGGAAGGCTCCGTGGAGGAGGGGGCACTGGAAGATCCCACACAGATGGGATTCCTGTCAGGTGGGGTTGTTTGAAGTGAAAAGCACGTCATTATAACTCATGTGGTTCTTAAGAACTAGCAGGGCTGGTGTGGCCACTCGTGTCTAAGGGACCATTGGAGAAGCTGAGAGGGCCTGTCAGGGGCTTGGAGGGTGGAGAGCGGGGAGCCTGTGAGGAGGGGAGGGGCCTCCAGCAGGGTTGCTCTGACCTCTGTCTTCCCAGACCCCGAGTGATTGACAGCTTCTACAGGGTCTGGGCAAGGGGATCGCAGCCTGTTTATGTGCCCCGCCCCCCATTCTTGTGGACCTGGCGGCAGGACAGGGGATGCTGCCTGCTCCTTCCGTGGCACAGGTCGGCCTCTAGATGTGGCTGGTTCAGGTCAGTTGTATTTTCGGATTGACTTGGAGAAGGATGGAAGCCCCTCCGCCTTTTGCTTCTCATGTGTGTTTCCTCCGGCCCCCCCACCTCGGGAGGACCCCCACCGACAGCGCTGAACCAGCTGGGCACGCGGGTCACCCGGAGGTCTGGGGCCAGTGCCATTCAGGGGTGGTAGCCCGAGACTCTGCATTTCCAGCAAGCTCCTGGCTGACAGTCTGTGGGCTGCCCTAGGGTCCCCGGGTGCAGGGCACACAGCGTGACTGGTTCCCTCGCCCCTACAGAAACTGTTCTCAAGAAAGGAGACAGACTCTCCTTGGGCAGGCTCTCACTCCTGTCTGGTTTTCCATTTGGGGGCCTAGAGAAGGGGTGCTGTCAATCAGCAGAGGAGGGGCCTGGTGGGGAGGGCAGGGACACTGGTGTTTGGGGACTGGCCCGAGCCCCGCGGTCTAACTTTCACACGGATTCCTGCCACCGGCCCAGCTGCCGATACAATTAAACCTCAGTGATTCACTGTAGTGCATTTCAAGGCAAGGCGTTGTGTTATGAAAACGTGGGTCCCAGCGGCTTGTTTTGTTGGCAGGTCTTGCTGCCTCAGCAGAAAAGAGGCGCTTTTGATATGGGAACGGAAACTTGGGACCATGTTAGAAATAGTTAGTGTGTTCGGCGGAGAGGACGTTGGTCCTCCTCCAGCTGTGGAAACTCCACGCCTGGCGGGAAGACGGCAGCCTGTGGGGCTGGGGAGGGTCCCCACAGCACCTGGGTCTGTGGTCTGAGCCGCCTGTGCTGTGATGTGGCTGGCCTTCCCTGCCACTGAGGGGCGTGGGACGCAACCGTCCCCTGCTCGCCCCTCTGCCTGCAAAGGTAACATGCTGCTGTTTTTTATTTTATGGAAAGTCCAGCTCGCAGAGGAAATACCTTTCTCAAGGCACCCTGTCTGATGTCGCAGAGCAGCTCTGCCCAGCAAGGCAAGCACATGAAATGCACATTTGTAGTCCTCGTGTGTACCTGGCCGCAGTGCGGGGAGGCAGAGCGGGAACGGGAGAAGACTGTCTAGCTCAAAAGGCCAGTCCTGGGCTTCAGTTTCCAACACTGGGCTGACTCTGCCGGGACAAGCAAGTGCCTCTGTTCTTGTCTCTTCCTCTTCCGGCCCTGATTGCTGTCCTGGACTAGCCCATTCAATGGATATTGGGCCAATTTCCCTTTTTTCCAGTTCCCCTTTTTTCCCCTTGTGTTTTCAAAATGTGATAAATGGAATAGGCACACTCCAGATCCAAGTTACTTTTCTGAGAAACTTCCCGCAGTGCTTAGGTCCTGGCCCTCTGGCGTCAGAACAGAGAAGCAGGGCGCACAAACCCCTCCCCACCAGTACACTGCAGACCTATGCCCAAGCTGCCACCGCTTCCCAAGGGCATGGGGGAGGCACTGGGGGAGAGTTCGGAGATGCGGGCAGAACCACTGCCAGCAGCCCCTTCCCCTGAAGCTTTTGCACTCATTGTTCAAATGATTGGATGTTGCCTGCCTCCCCCCACTAGACAGTAAGCTCCCTGAGGGCAGCAAGTTCTGCCTGTTCTGTGTATCCAGTAGGTGCTTAATACTTTTGGAATGAATTCCAGCCCTGAGGCACATTATTTGGACTTGGGTGTTTTCCCACTGTTCACCAGCTGAACATTGCCAGACCATCTCTCAGGTTGGGTCACTTCTGCCGGTGACATCTTGTCCATGTTGTTTGTTCCTTCCAGTTTCCCCTTGGGGAAGATGTTTTCTAGCAGTTCAGGGGAAGGCCTCTTCTCCCTTCCTGAACACTAACCACGTTGGCCTGTGTTTTTGTTTTTGTTTTTTTGTTTTTTTTTTTTTTGAGACAGAGTTTCATTCTTGTTGCCCAGGCTGGAGTGCAATGGTGCAATCTCAGCCCACTGCAACCTCCACCTCCCGGGTTCAAGTGATTCTCCTGCCTCAGCCTCCCAAGTAACTGGAATTACAGGTGTCCGCCACCACGTCCAGCCAATTTTGTATTTTTAGTAGAGATGGGGTTTCTCCATGTTGGTCAGGCTGGTCTCAAACTCCCGACCTCAGGTGATCCGCCCACCTCAGCCTCCCAAAGTGCTGGAATTACAGGTGTGAGCCACCGTGCCCAGCCTAGTTGGCCTGTGTTTTTGAATTGGCCACCTTGTTGAGGCACTTAGGGACTGAGAAACAAAGCAAGGTCTTGAGAAGCTCATTCTAACCTGTCTTAGGGGCTTAACAGATACTTGTGGGATGGATGAGCAAGCAACTTAGCCTAAGCACAGGCCTCGGATGGTCGAGTTCTCAGCCGGCTTCCCATGTTCCGTGTGAGCTAGCCTGGCCAGGAGAGGATCCGTGGGCACGGCTGTGCCAGGCCTGTGAGTGATGATCCCTCCACCTGAGAATGAAGAAATGCAGCCCATGAGAAGAGGTTGGCATAGCGACAAGTCCAGAGACCCTGTGATCAACCTGGGGCACCCCTAGCTGTGGGCAGACACTCCATGGTACAGCTGATAGTGGCGGTCAGGCTCCAGCATCATCCGTGGGAGAGCACGGAGGATCCCGGTGGCTGGGTGATTCCCTGATAGCAGAAGGTAGGGCCTTTGCCAGTTTGGAGCTGCCTCAGGGTGTCGACCTGCTCAGTGAGAAAGTAGGCGCCTAGGAATCCAAACGTTCCTCTCCTGCCTCATCCTGCCTTGTTCCCAGGGTAGGGATCACCCTGACATCGGTTCTCCCATGTCCTCATCCCCCGCCAGCCCGCAGGGTCATCCCCTCCCCAGACCACAGTTTGGGCCCAGGGGTGGAGATGCAGGCACACATCCCGAACTCCGGAGAAACTCGGTCTACAGGTGCTGTCTCGGGGCAGCAAGGGCTGCCAAACCACGGCACTGCACTTTTTCCTTTGGAGAACAGAAAGGGGAGGGGCAGAGGCCTGGCCTGCAGCAATTCTGCTCTCAAAGGCTCTTTACTCCCCACATCTGAGCGTCCTTAACGGTGTCCTTTTGTGTAACTCTGGGCTAACAAGCCCAGTCCAACCAGCCAGGTTGTGCCTCTCTCTGCCCTGTGCCTCTCTCTGCCCTGCACCCCCATCCACACCCACCCCCTGTCCATGTGGATCTTGGAGAGGTGGACATTTTTCATCCATTTATTTATTTATTTATTTTTTATTGAGGTGAAATTCACCTAACATTCATCTTTTTCAGAGTACAATTTGGTGGCATTCAGTCCATTCACAATATGGTATATTACCACCTCTGTCTTGTCCCAAAACAGTCTGATCACCCCTAAAAGAGGCTCGAGTCCCAAAACAGTTTCATCACCCCTAAAAGAGACCTCTGCCACTTCCCGTCCCCTGCTTCCTGGCCCCAGGCAAGCACCAGTCTGCTTTCTGTTTCTATGGATTTGCCTATCCTGGTCATTTCATCGAAAGGGAATCATACAATGTGTGGCCTTTTATATCTGGCTTCCTTCACATTAATCTAAAGTTTTTGGGGTTCATTCACACTGTAGCATGCACTAGTACTTTTATGGCTGAATAATATTCCACTGAATGTGTATACCACAATTTGTTTATCCATGCGTCCATCGATGGACATTCGGGCTCATCCATTTGTGTTTTTGCAACAGTAACAACACAACAGTAAAGAAATTTAAAAGGGAGGGAACTCATAAGCTCACCACTCTACACACAGCGACATTTTCATTTCTCCAGGCTCCTTTCTACCTCTCTCCTGAGTATGCCAATACAGTTTTTTCTAGGTTTTAGTCTCAGGGCAGATGCAGTTATGACCCTTTTTTCACTTGACATAGGAAACCTTTTCCCTTGCCCTCTTGTACAGAGATCCTTCCCATTAGCAGGTTTTTTGTTGTTTGTTTTTGAGACAGAGTCTCACTTTGTTGCCTAGGCTGGAGTGCAGTGGCGCAGTCTTGGCTCACTGCAGCCTCAACCTTCTGGACTCAAGCAATCCTCCTACCTCAGCCTCCCAAGTAGCTGAGACTATAGGCATGTACCACTACACCCAGCTAATTTTTGTATTTTTTGTAGAGACAAGGTTTCCCTATGTTATCCAGGCTGGTCTTGAACTCCTGGGCTCAAGAGATCTGTCCACCCCAGCCTCCCAAAGTGCTGGGATTATAGGTGTGAGCCACCACACCCAGCCCCCATTAGCATTTTTGGTGGGTAATACTCCACTCGCTAGCTGGGGAGGCACTTCCACACTCCTTGCCTTATCCTATATGTGACGAGCTGGTGCCATGCCATTCTGGCCCCCAGGCCTTTCTACTTGCCTGGGAAGTTGAGGATGAATTTATTCACTGCCTTTGAACTTGCTGGAACCCTCCCCTCTTGAGTATTGACCCGTGTGTTCCAGGTTGATGGAATTGGAGGAGGGAGACCTCTGGCATATAAGAGGAAGTGCCCGAAGGTTACTGTGGCCTGAAAAGTATGTTGAAGTCCTTTTCTTATTCACCACCTGCCTGGGAGGCCCCGGGATTTACCCCTCCCTTGGCATCCTGCTCAGTTCCGTGAAATCCCACACGGGAAATGGCGATTGGGTTGCACAAGGAGGCGCACAGCCTAAGTCCTTTTACAATCCTCTCAGGTTCATTGGCCGAGATCCAGTCGAGGTCCAGTTGAGAAACCTCCAGTCCAGCTATCTCCACAGACACTCCCCACCACCCTGGGCTTGCCTCAGTCAGTTGCAAAGATCAGGAACCTGGAGGTGTGTTACTTGGACACTTGATTTTCTTCTAAAAGTGGATGGTGGGGCGGATGGTCCCAAGGTCCAAGATTTTGAGAGCGGTAAGAGGAGAGGTGGCTGTGAACTAAATTAAAAGAAGCTGCTCTAAGGCCATCCTGTTATGGAGAAATAATTAACTCCCCACACATGACCGTGATTACAGCAAACAGCCTAGATGTCCATCTAGGAGGGAATGTCACCAAAATTATAATAGCACATAATGGGATATTATGCAGCCACTAACATAAATTTCATGGAGGAGCTAATATATTACGATGGAAAAAGCAAACTGTGGATTCGTATCTGCAGTGTGATCTTTTGCTGTAAATAGACTATTCTCATATGCACCAGAATGTTCTAGAAGGACACACCTCTGTGCTTCCCTGGGCAGTGGGTGAGAGGAAACACTTTATGCTTTTTACATTTCTGTATTGAGATTTCTTATGAGAATGTCTAACATTTGAAATATTTCATATCAAGATAATTTTTTAAAATTCTGGTACAAGTGTAATCCTGATAGTTTTCATTTAATAGAGATCTGAGATTCTAAACTGTTGAGGCATCATTCCTTGAAACCAGTGGTTCTCAATCTCTGGCCTCATCATAGTGCCCTGGAGGGCTCTAGAATTCAGGCCACCCCACGGAGTTTCTGATCCAGAAAGTCTAACGGGGTCAGGAATTTGCATCTCTGAGTTCCCAGGTGATGCTGACTGATGTTGCGGGTTGAGACCCCACTTTGAGAACCACTCCTGTAAAACAGGGCCTTTCCTGTTTTCCTCACTGCCAGATAGAGGGAGGCCTGTGGGTCTGGTGACGGGGCCAAGCAACTTGGGTCACCCCTGTGAGCTGTAGGACCAGCACCTGCCATGGCATTCCCCAGCTGAGTGCTCTCCTGCACTTGGCATTTAAGATTCCAAGCTATCAGGTGTCCCCCGATAGCCTCAGGTGTTGAGAGGCGGCAAGGGGAGGGCAGGGAGCGGCATGTATGAAGCTCCTACTTTGTGCCTGGAGCTTTAGTTAGGCGATTCTGTGGTGAAATCATGAACATTGCCCTTCCTATTCCCCCAGGTGGTTTGAGGGCAGCCGCCTGGGCCTCAGGGGGGAACACGTGGATGCCTGGCCCCCTGACTCTCACGTAGGCTGCGTGATGACCCCTGAAATCTCTCTGGGTTGATGCTTCCTGAGTCCTCAGATCCTCTCCCCAGCCCCTTCCTGGTTACCCTCCTGCTTATTATCCCTGGAGGGACATGAGGGTGACCCGAGGACCACTCCCAGAGGTGACCTTTGCCAGCTGGCACATCCCACAGAGAGAGATCAGTGTGTCACCGCCTCCCATTCAGGCCTTGGCACCCTGAAAGCCTGAGTTTGGTTGGATCCCCTGTGTCCAGGAGACTGCCTTGTTGGGGGGAAGTGGCAGACTTTGGATGCACTCCAGCCTCCTCCTCTCAGCCAGGCAACCCTGAGCTCTGGAGTCCCTCGGGAGGCTAGGCTGGAGCAAGGCCCTTCCAGAGAACCAGCTTCTCTGCAGAGCCTCCTCCTGGGAGTCACTGGGTGCACCGGATCCACCCTGCCTCGAGCTCCCATCTCCTGCCTTCTGGGGAGCTGCCGGGGATCAGAGGGCGAGGAGTACCAGGTCTCTGAGCCTGTCCCATGGGTATCCTGTTGGTGACTCTTTTCTTGGAGATGGCCGCGGGGCTGCTGTTGGCCCTGGCTTTCTGCCTCTACTCTTTGGGGCGCCCCACCGCCTGTGTGAACCACGTGGACCCAGTGTGTGACCCCCGAGGCCAGGCAGTGTTGGTGGTCCATAGTCTCCATTTTATTCCCATTGCCGTGGGACAGCATGTCTGCTGCTATCTGGGTCACCTTTCGGGAAGGTTGCTGTTTGTCCCTGGGGTCCCTCCAAGAACTGGCTTCTCGTCTGCACCAGGCACAGTTCATTGTCCTCGTCACCCTGCCTAGGCTACAGCTGCGATTTATTGTAATTTTCAGTCTCTGTATGAATATCATGCTGGTTTCCCAGGCCGTGGCTCCACTGATTCGAGCCCTCTGAAAGTGCTGTGAGTCATCTGGGCCCTTCCATAGACGTTTACAGCAGGTGCATTTTGGGTCTTTTGAGGTCAGCGGCTAGAGCTGTGGACCGTGTGGGATTTTCTCTCCAAAATCACTTGTCAGAACTTTCCAGAAGGATCCTGTTGATTCTAGGGGCACAGACTTATTTTTATATCCCTGTTTGAGGGGTCCCTCCTCAAGTTGGTGGTTGGTAGGGTGAGGGGTGGGGGGTGGTAACCACGTGTCACAAGCCCTGCTGGCGGTGGCCCCTTTGCCAGGGGCTCCATGGCCCAGCCAGCACGGAGCATTCCCTGAGCCCTTCCACCACCAAGAGTGTCCCTGCCACTCATGTTCAGGATGCTGGAGGGAGCACAGGAGCCCAGTGAGCAGGCAGAGCCCAGGCGGCGGCTGAGCCAGGCTGCAGAGGTTCATTCTGATAAAATAGCAGATCGCTCGGAGCATGTTTCTCTTGCAGAATCCTGGGCTGCCACCACTGGTGTGTGAGACGGGCGGCAGAGGGAGGGAAGTTACGTGATCTTCAGGTGAAAGGAGGCTTTATAAATAGGTCACCTTGTTCCACATCCTGAATTTCATTCTTTCCCCATCTTGGGGCGAAACAATGGTCTCACTGTTCTGGGGTTAGTCAGACACTGGGGGGGAACCGGGCGTAAGGAGGAGCGTGAGTGTCTGCCACTCCCTGGTGACCGACCCACCCCTGTGCATCCCTTACCTGCCCTTTCTGACCATTTGTCCCCAGTCGCATTGGCTACATCCCCAAAAGAGGGTGTAGCCGCTCCTTCAACAGACCTCTTCCTAAACACCACCACCAACAGGTAATTTTTAGTGGAAGCGAGGCTCCAGGACAATTGATCTGAAAGCATTTTGGGGGAAGGTGGGGTCTGCAGGGTTGTGGCTTTAATTGAAATGCCACTGGGGGGTTGCAGGCAGGTGCTGTGCAGTCTGGCCTGTCTCAGCCTCTCCCAGGGTCTGCTCTCAGAGTCTCATTCCTCCTCCCCTCCCCTTCCCTGGAGTGGGTCTGTCGGGGCCGGAACAGCCACCGGTGTTTCTGATGGGGCCGCCTCACCTGGCCTTTGCCACGTGCACAGCCGCTGTGCAGCTGCCACCTGGCTGGGTATGGGGACGGACCAGCTGTTCTCTTCTTGTGTTCTGGGTCAGTAGAGAGAGATAGCTGCCCCATTTTTACTGGGCTAATCAAAATCTGTAATTTTGAAGCAGTATAACCAGAAGTCTTGGGATAGATCGCTGTAGACATAATGTCCCTCTTTGGCATGGCCTCAAAGCTTCCCCAGGATTCTCATCCTTTATTTAAATACCATTCTGCCAGGCTGGGCATGGTGGCTCACACCTGTTATCTGAGCACTTT